TTCCATGTGGTGATGAGTAGAATGTGTATTCTGTGGTCTTTGGATGGAGTGTTCTGTAGGTATCAATTAAGTCCATTTGGTCCAAAGTCACATTGAGGTTCCGGATCTCATTGCTGATTTTTTTTCCTGTTGATCTGTCTAGGGTTGTGAGTGGGGTATTAAAGTCCCCAGTTATGATGGTGTTAGAGTCAATATCTTTCTTTAGTTTTCCTAGAAGTTACTTTATGAAAGTTGGCACACTTATGTTGGGTGCATATATATTTAGGATAGATATTTCTTGTTGATGGATTGAGCCTTTTATCATTATGTAGTGTCCTTCTGTATCTTTTTTGATTTTTAATAGTTTGAAGGGTATTTTGTCTGAAATTAAGATCGCTGCTTCTCCTTTCTTTTGTATTCTGTTCGCCTGAAAGTTTGTTTCCCATCCTCTTACTTTGAGTCTGTGGGTGTCCTTTCTAGTGAGATGAGTCTCTTGAAGGCAATAGGTTGTTGCCTGATGATATTTTATCCATTTTGCCATTCTATGTCTTTTCAGTGGTGCATTTAGTCTGTTCACATTTAGGCTAATAATCGAAATGAAAGAGTTGATCCCTGTCATAAGGTTCTTACAGAGTTGTTCCTGTTTGTTTGTTGTCTTTCTTTGGGTTTTGGAGTTGGTTCATGTGTGTTTTTAATCTTTTGCCTGTACTCTTGTGAAGAATGTTGTTGTTCTTTTTTCTTTTTCTTCTGTGTTCAGTACTTTCTTAAGTGTTTCTTGTAGAGGTGGTCTGGTGGCAGTGTAGGTTCTTAGGGATTGGATGTCTGGAAAAGATTTCAATTCTCCCTCACTAATGAAGCTTAGTTTGACTGAGCAGGGTATTCTTGGTTGAAATTGTTTCTCTTTTAGAACTTTGAAGATAGGGCTCCAGGCTCTCCTAGCCTGAAGGGTTTCTGTGGATAAATCTGCTGCTATTCTAATTGGTTTTCCCTGGTAGGTAGTCTGGCCTTTTTCTCTTGTTGCCTTTAGGTTTTTTTCTTTTATAGCTACTTTGTTTAGGCAAATTATTATGTGTCTGGGAGTTGGTCTTCTCATTTGTTGTCTTGCAGGGGTTCTCTGAATCTCTTGTATTTGAATTTTTTCATCCTTGATGAGATGAGGGAAGTTTTCTTGAATGATTTCATGAAATGTTTGTTCCAGTGTGGCTTCTGTTTCTCTCTCTGCCTCAGGAAGCCCAATTACTCTTAGGTTTGGTCTCTTGAAGTGATCATTCATCTTTCACAGGTTTTGTTCTGTCTTTTTGAGCTTCTTTTCTATGCTTTTGATAGTTTGGATTAGTTCTGTGTTTTGGTCTTCGAGCTCTGAGATTCTTTCTTCTGCTTGGCTGATTCTGCTTTCCATGCTTATTAGTCTGTTGTTCATTTCCATCACAGTGTTCTTTACTGCTGTCATTTCTGACATCAGCTCCTTCCTATTTTCCTCTTGTCTCTTCTCAATTTTTTTAATTCTCTCCATTAATGTCTTGATGTCTGGATTTGTTGCATGTAACCAGTCATTCTGGGGGCTCTTCATTGTTTGTGTTCCAGAATCTATTTTCTCAGTGTCTGATCTCCCAGGGGTCTGTGTGAGGCCTATATTCTTCTTTTGGCTTTTCTTTATTTGTGTGGCTTTTCCCCCTCCCTACTTTTTCCTTCCCTCCACGTCACCGTCTTCTTTAATTCTGTTATTCAGGGGCAAAGGGATTGGTTTTACTTCTGTTTGTTCAATCTCCTATTCTTTATGTATGCCCTCTTCCTTTGTTCAATTCTGGAGTTGCACTGTAGGTTGGGGGTGGTCCTTTTTGCAGTTTTGAGATTTACTTAAGGGGGGAGCTGTGATTCAAAATCTATTTGCAGATCCTGGTATTCGCTGACAGGTGTGTGGATAATCTGGAACCCACTTCTCACTGCCTTGGAGTCTGTCTGTGCAGTGGGGCTGTAGGTTTGCTCCCTGAAATAAAATGTGGTTAGCAGAGGGGAGAGAATGGAGCAGACAGTGGGTTGAAGAGGAGGGTGGAGAGATAGAGGAGTAAGGGGGGAAACAAACAAGTGTGCCAACAAGTAGAGAGAGGCCTATACTGAAACAGATAAAAACAATAGACTACAGCTACAGACGAACCAACTCTCATACAAAAAAAATAAAAAATAAAACATATAGTGATGCTTACATACCAGCTATCCAACCACCTTATTAGTGTGCTGTTCCTCTATACAAAGATATGGTTTACAGAGAGAAGAAAAGAGAAGAAAAGGAAGAGAAAAAAGAAAAAAAAAGGAACAATACAGTAGGAATAGAATTAAGTCATTAAACTAACAGAAGCAATGAAGCACACTCTGAGACATTTCGTTTAAGTCCAATGTCCTTTCAGGTCTGATTTCTAGTTTTATTTTCAAGCTGGTAAATTAGTTGCAGTTAGGGTCAGTTGCCCCTGGTCTGCTGTGAAGGACAGTTCAGATCACCCTCCGTTCACCACTCTGGCCTATGTCTTTTTCAAGCTTGTTTCTCCCGTTTCGGTGTTGTTACCTTGAATCGCCAGCAGGTGGTGCTATCTCAGCTGCTCGCCCCAGAGGGGCGGGGCGGACAGGAACTGCAAAGGCTGAAGATGGCTGCCTGCCTCAGGGCCGACAGCCGGAGACCCATGGCAGGCAGGACGTCCCAGTCGCGAGAGACGTGGCAGCGATCCCAGCAGATCTTCCCTGGAGGGGCCTGAAGGACTGAAGTGGATCGCCTCCGGCCCAGGTGGTGCGATGTGCTACGGCGGCGGCGGCGGCAGGGGCGGGCCCGCAGTGGTGGCAGGGGTGGGGGTGCGGCGGTGGCGGCGGCGGCGGCAGCGCCGTTTGCGCTACAGTGACTGTCCAGTGGCAACGGCCGAGCTCCGTATGAAGAGCAGGCTGCGATGTTGGGGTCCGTAGCCCCCCGGGCGAGAGTCAGAGGCCCACTGCAGCTCTCCTTTGCAGAGGGTTTCACAGACCCGGTTGCCCCGTCGCCATCTTGCTGCTTCTCCCCACCCTCTCTTTATATAAAGGTTCTTAGTCTTCTCATCCAGAAAGTGAGATTTTGAATGGTGTGGTCTTTCTGATTCTTTTAATTCTCATTCTAAAATTTTATGGTTTTAATTTCTCATTGCTCCTTTTTATCTTCTAAGTGAAGTTTTCTAGATAAATTGATCACTTGCAGTTTTATTCTGCAGTTTTATTTTCTATGACTGTTGCATATTTAGGAATCTTTCTTTTTCTCTCCGTATCAATATATAATATGTGGTTAGACCACATGTTATTTTGAATACATTTATGACCATTGAGAATGTTAGGTTATCTAAGATACATAGTGGGTCATCTTCTCCATCACCTTTATTTTATTGGGCCGGAACCAAAGATATTTCAAAATTGAATCAAACCATTAATTATTGTTTATAGTTCTTCAAATAATGTTTAAAATGACACAGCAGAGCTTTGTGAGAGAGAAGTCCAGAAACACTCTCTGTGACTGAAATTTATGGATAAGAATGGAATTCATTTTTACAATTAAGGCAAAAATAATTTTATAATCTATAGACAAAGAAAGGCAAGTTTTGCCAATTGTAAACTCTAGACCCATTATCTATACTTATTAATACCTCCTACTCCCAGCCCCTATTGTATTCAGAAAAGAAGTTATTGTGTGCTTGCCATCTAATTTTTTAGGTAACTCCTGTAACATAACTCCAAGTCATTTAGTGTGGGTGTTCACTGATAAAAATTTATTTGTTATTGAATCATGTTGACTGAGTTCACCATATCTTTCCTCAGTTCAGCTCAACATTCTGCACATACTCGAATGTTTGTCATGTGGATAATGGTTTGCAAGCTTATCCTAGAAAGTGGAAAGATAAAAGAATGCAAAAGGGAATACTTTGTCGCTAGATGGAGTAGATAATTTTCTGTATTATATGGTTTAATAATACAGAAATCACTCATCCCACACAACTTACCTTCCTGACATTTAGAACAAATAAAGCACTGATCTTTGTATAATTTGTATAAATGAGGACAGATACTTTCATGCTCAGGTTTTAATAAAAATAAGAAACAGAACATAATTATAAGTGTAACTGAACAATTTGGCAATGCCGAAAATCTTGCTAGAAGCCCCTTTTTAAAAAGAAATATAAAAATTAAGTTTTCTTTGATATGTGAAATTTAAGTTTCTCTTAAAGTGCATGAGATACTGAATATATTATTTCATTTTTCATTGAACAAATTTAGGTTTCTCTCTCCCCCACCTCTTTCTTTCTCTTTCAGGAGTCCATCTGAAAGGTAAAATCTTTCTCTGCTTTTCAGCTTTGGTAGGTCTCAGAAGTGGGTTGAGTTTCTTGAACAAGAAACTGATCACTTGCTCCATTGCTCAGCGGTGACCTTTCTCTTTGGTTTTGGGACTATCTCAGCTTGAGGTGGCCTGAGTAAGACCCAATTCACTGAATTCTAGCCTTCATTCTATCCCCTGCTCCACTTAATCTAATATCTCCAAGAGTTGGACTATCCTGTCTCCCAGGCTTGACTGTTAAGAATAAGAACTAACTTTCCTTTCACATTCTCTCCCATGATCATCAATTTTCATTCTCTTTACTTCTCTTGCTCTCTTTATTTTATGTTATAATTCTACTCTTGTTTATTTTTCTTTTTTAAAAAATGAATTTTGCTTTGGGAGGCCAGCTTATTGTAAACTAGTGATGGAGTTGTCTTTATTTTGTCACAGAGTGGTAAGTACATTATCATTATCATGTGGCAGGTGTCTATGTGAATGATCATGCAACTTAGCTAAAAAGTTTCTACCTGGGATTTGATGACATTTTCATGAAGTGTTGTTACAGTGGCATAGGATCTAAAGATAGGGTGGAACAACTCTAGATGGGCCAAAGGATATCTTTGTTTTAAGTGCCCTTGATCATGAAGCTCAAATGGCTAAAACCTAGTGAGAAAGTCCAGGACAGAATCCCTGACTGCTCTTATATCTCTGTGTGGAAGGTGAGGGTGCTTCCTGCCATCTTCTTCTGGTAGTCCTTGTCAAATTCTTCATTTTGGGCCACAGTAAAAAAGCTCTTCCCATCCCCAGGCATCCCTGAAACAAGGCAAAAGTCTCAGCGATTGTTGCAGGAGTACAGGGAGAGGTGAACAGGCACCCTTAGGATCCCACCAAGAATGGGGAGAAAAGGAAGCTTGCCTCCCCAAAATGGTACAGTGACATTGCTGGCAAGAATAAATAATGGAGCATGAGACATTGCTGAAAAATCTAAGCACATCATGGGGACGACAGAGTTCCATTTTTGACATCTAGACTATAAATCTCATCTACCTTTTCTCATAAAAGGGGAGATAGGGTGGTCCATGATGCTGGTGGGCAGAGCGGTATAGTTGGCCACTGGATTTTGCTTCATTACATCAAAAGAGGTGTAACAGATGATTTTATTCAGAAGTTCTTCTGGGATGTCTTTCTCCAAGAACTTCAATATCTTCTCAGTTTCCCTCTTCGGGTCCTGTATGTGGAACAGTCACATCAAACAAATCATTTTGGGTCTACCATTAGGGATGAGGTTCTGTTTGAACAGTGTTTGGAGAGAATGAGTTAAGGGATCAGTTCAAATCTAGTCTTCAAATGTTTCTCGAGCGACTACTAGTGCAAAGCATTGTACTTTTCCTGAAGCTGCAGCAACACAAAGATGAGGGCCATCCCTGCTTTCAAGAAATTTGCCTTGCCGTGGGAGGAATCACATGTGAACCCCAACAACTGCGACTGCTGACTGAGGAAGTACATGCTGCCTGTTGACAGAGAGAGTGCCAGGAGATTTGGCAGGAAGGAACAACGACGTCTCCTGGGAGAGGTCTGGGAAGGCTGGGTGAAAGAGGAACAACATGGTGGCGAGGCACAGTGTGACTAACGAGTATTTGGGCCATAAGAGAGGGCATCACGAGTCTATCAGTTTAACGGAGGGTCACTAACAGGATGAATAAAAGGGATCTCAAGTTTACCCGGAAATGTGAATTTTTGCTTCTTGGTTCTTTCTGACCAAAGAGATGCAGAAAGAGAAGACGCTCCAGATTTTGCTTACATTTCAGAGGACTTCTTATCACTGGCCTAGGAGCTTGTTTGGTGATTGTAGGACACTAATCCACTGGGTCATGGATTAGTGACTTGAAATTCACACACCGTGACTTAAAATTCAGAAATCAGTGCACCATCCTGACTAATATCCTGCCCATATTTCGACGGCCTAAACTCTGGTTTGTGCTGGGGGTATGAGGTGTGGAAGAGGAAGAAGGAAGATAAATTTCTTCACACAACTATGCACGCTTTCCAAATATGACCATATAAATCTTCACAATAATCTCATGAGATAGACACGGTCCCATTTTGTAAGTAAAGAAACACAAGTCACAAATGTCAGGATCAAACAGGTTGATCAGACTATAAAGCATAGGCTGTTTCCTGAGGAAGAAAGAGCTTCCGGAAACTGAGTTAAAGCAAAGAAATTTTAGAAAACAAAAAAAGTTAATTAGAGCTTGGGATAAAACTCAGATGGAAAGAACGTCATGGATTCACACCGAAGTCTCTTCTTTGGGCAAGCCCACACAGCAGTGTTCTGACTGGAGTCTGTCATGTCCGAGGATGTGGGAGGATCCGATAGTGACCATTTTGCCCTCACCTCCTTCATGTTCTCGTAGAAAAGGTAGAGAATATGGTGTTGATTTTTTGTTTTGTTTTGTTTTGTTTTTTTGAGTTGGAGTCTCACTCTGCGGCCCAGACTGGAGGGCAGTGGCCGCTCCCGGCCACCGCGGCCTCGACCTGCTGGGCTCCGGCGATCCTTCCGCCTCAGCCTTCCGAGTAGCTGGAACTACAGGCATGCGCTACCATGCCCGGCTGATGTTTTGATTTATTGTAGAGATGAGGTCTCGCTGCCCAGGCGGGTCTCGAACCCGCGGGCTCAGGCAATCCACTCACCTCAGCCTCCCAAAGGCGTGGGATGACAGGCTGAGCTTGCATCCCACCATCCCTTTATGTGGTCTACCAGGAGCCCCATAACAATGAAGGGAAGGAGAGAGACGCCGTCAGTGCCAACTTGAAACTTACAAATGGAGCATGATGTCTCAAATGAAAGATGACAATTCATAAATACAACCAAAGGCAACGATCCCGGGCAGAATTCTTATTTGCAGAAGACAGAGACTTAAAAAATTAGGGAGATGATCAAAAGCATTTTCACCCTTGTCTTGTGTCTAGTGGTCATTTAACATCTTACTTTTCTTCGCATCAATGTTATACAGGAAATATTGTTTCTGCATAAAAATATTTATACATATTATAATAAATATTTAAAAATATTGATTTTATAAATAAAATCAAGGCTGATTTTGAAAAGAAGACTTTTACCCCGAAAAATCTATAACGACTATTTGGGCACCTTCACACTCTGTGAGGGTGTGGGAGGAAGACATGTGTGCCTGCTGTCTTCAGCTGACTCTGCCAGCTCTGCTCTCCATCCTGTTCCCCCCTGATCAGGGAGTGCCCTGTGAGTTTACCTGTATAGACTGTGTCAGTGGACTGCTCTGCCCTCCGGCTTATAAGCTAGACTTTTTCAGCAACGGGTGTTGCAAGGTTTTGGAGGCCAAAGGAGAAGAGGACACAGTATTTATTTCCCCGATTGCCTCCCTGTTTGATCACTGTGGTTACCTGCTCCCCACACCAAAGGCCTCAACTCCTGTTAAGGAGTTCTCCCCGGTCTCCGAGTAGCAATGGCTCCCTGCTGGTACTCTCCCCAGGATACGGTACTAACCCTTGTTGGAGTCCCAAAACTCTGCTCAAAGACTCTTTTTCAATGTCTCCCCAGACGACCAAGTTTGATTGTACCCATCTACTTCCTCACAAGACCTTGATGGATACAGCTGCTCAGTAAAAATCACCTTCCTTTCTGATGTCAGCAGATGAATGTATGAGGAAATAGGAACCCAGTTTTCTTTCACTTACCTTTTCTAGCTTTGAATGGCTCAACATATTCCTCCCATGCATCAGGGTCAGGCAACATTTTATTCATTCTTGAGAAATGGTAGTAGGATACCAGGCAGTCCTTGGCATTTCTAGCCACATAGATAATCTGGATGTGGCCCGCACGGGGAGTAAGAGACAGAGAGAAAAGAAAACAGAAAAACACCATTAATCAGTGCAGAGGACCATGATCTTAGAACGCCTTTGTGGAATCTTGGACTATCCCATGTGTGTATTGAATGTGCATGCATTTTCTAGGATCAAACACGATCATCTCTTGAAAGGGTTCCAACTGATAGCCATGGCCCTAGCACGGTGTGACGGTTAATATTAAGTGTCAACTTGACCGGACAGAAGGATGCCTGTGTGGCTGGTGAAGCACTGTTTCCGGGTGTGTCTGTAAAGGTGTTTTCAGAGGAGATTGACATGTGAGTCAGTGGGTTGGGAGAAGAAGACTCATCCTCAGTGTGTGGGGTCGGGGTCCATCCAGTTGGTGCCAGCACAGCTCTACCAAAGCATGGAGATAAACCATTTGCTCAGTTCCCGCACACTCTCTTCCCCTGGCAGGGGGATTTGGACTCTTGGGACATGCACCGGTGGCATCCTGGGTGTTCTCGGGTCTTTGCCCTGTTGGCTTCCCTGGTTTTGAAGCTCATCCCTAATAAATTCCTTCTTATAAATACATATATCCTAGTGGCTCTGTCTCTATGGAGAACCCTAACTGATACACATGATTATTGAGGCATGCTTTTTCTCTCCTAGTGTCCTGGTTTGCATGCTATATATAACGGTCTCCTCAGCTATCGTACTTCTGAATGTTAAAGAAGCTACCTATGGTGTCTTAGTCTACTCAGGCCTCTGTAGCAAAATGCCATAGACTAGATGATCTATAAACAACAGAAATTTATTTCTTACAGTTCTAGAGGCCGTAGAGTCCATGGTGAAGGTGCTGGCAGATTTGGTAACTGGTGAGGGTTGCTTCCTTGTGAGTAGTTGTATTTTATAAAGGCACTAATCTCATTCATGAGGGCTTCCCAGTCCATGAGCTAATCACTTCCCAAAGACCCCACCTCTTAAGACCTAACCTTGAGGGTTAAGATTTCAACATACAAATTCTGGGGGGGACACGTACAGACCATAGCATGTGGTATTTTTCAGCGTGTGAAGAAGGTGCCCACGGCTTTCACTAAGCCAGGAATCGAACTGGGCTATGGTTGTGGCAGAGAAGCTAAAGCGGTTAGCCATCTAGTCTCATTTCCACCAGATGAGTCCTGGCCTCACAGACGAGTTATCACTCCTGCTTTTCATTTGCTGCTAAGATCGAAGGCCCCGTCAGGAAGTGCTAAGTTCATGTTTGGAGATGTCTGTGGTGATGTCTTCGCATAGGAAAGGCAGCGGTGTGGTCTGATGGATGAGAGCTGACCTCTTGACTTCCTGTCCTGCCGTTCCCCTCCTCCCTTCACCATCCGGACTCTGATCCCTCCCTGAGCTACTGTATACATTCTCAGTGGGACTGGGGAGGGCCTGCGTATAAGTGGTTTCTCAAGCATTTTTTCCCTGTGTTGCAATTCCTCAACAGAACTTTTGTGTCCAATGTAACCAATCGCCAGCCTGATTTTCCTCTTAGTGAGCAGCCCCAGGCTCTTCCATTCCCAACTGTATTTCCTCATTATTCTCTCGGACGAACACAGTTCTGGCATGGCTGCTTCTCTGCTCCTTTTCTCGCTGTTAGGGTTCCATTTAGTATTTGTGAAAGTATTAGGAAACCAGAAAGTATGATACAAGTGTAAAGTCTTATCATGTAAAAATATTTTGTGTAACATTTCTTAATGCTTATGTTAGGTCTTCAAGGCCTAACTAGAAGCAGAGGAAGTCCTGGGCTAGACAGGTAGCATATTCAAATGTACTTTCAGTGTGGAGTTCAAAGTTAAATAAAATTACTAAGTGTCTGTTCATCTATCTGTATTAGTTACCAATTATTGCCTTAACAAATTACCACAAATGTAGGGGCTTTAAACAACAAAGAATTATTCTCTTACAGTTATGGAGGCCAGATATCCCTGGGCTAAAGTCAAGGCACCTCAAGGCTTGTTTTTTTCTGATGGCTTTAGAGGAGAATTCATTCTCTTGTTGTTTTTAGCATTTGAGGTCACCTGCAGTCCTTGGCTATGGACTCCTGCCTCTTACTTCAGCTGTCATATCTCCTGCTTCCTTTTTTCATATGTTTCCTTCTATTAAAAAATTTTTATTTATTTATTTATTTTTAAATTCATTTATTTATTATAAAGATGCGGGGTGCAATTCAGGGCTAGGTAAACAAACATTGATCATGGAGGTACCCTTGTTGAGGAGGTATGCCTCTCCCTCCCCCAGCAGTTTCCCTCAACTGCCAGTCCCAACCCCCTTCCACTGATGCTTCCATTTTTTAAAGACCCCCGTGATGATTTTAGACTCAGGATAATCTCCCCATCTCGGGACCCTTAACTTAGTCACATC